GAGTAATCTCTTGTTACAGAGCATTTTATTGAATAGTTTGCTCTAAAATACTTCTAAGGCCCTCAGAGAACAGCCGTGTTTCTATTTAGATTAAACTGCATGGAGGTGAATTCTAGCTACTAATTGAGTGACTTCTAAAGTCAATTGGTTCAAAAAGATTTTAATAAAGGGTATCTGTGAAAAAGGGTCTGAATACAAAAAACAAAAAAACCCTTTTATTATAAATTTTAAAAGGTTACCTTGGTTACTTTTTTAAACTAACATAGTGCTTAATTAGGACAATATTCGTGATTCAGATCAATGAAATGATATCTTGTATTATAAACCAGCTAATACATATATAATCCTTTTCCTAACATTCCTGTATATTTTGTACAATCTGTATAATCTGTGCATGTAGCTCCAATATTCATATTTATATTCATACACAACTTTTTTGCAGTCCCTAACTATTACTTTTTGCTTGTACATACACCTGTAGTAATATGTATATCCTGTATAGCACTTCTGGATAGATGCAACCCACATTTTGTTGCTTTGTACTCGTTTGTACTCGTTTAATTCTATTCTATTCTATTCGATGATATCCTTTGATACACAACTTTTTCATCAATGATAATATTTAATGGTATATAATTGTGTAACAAGAAAAGAAGCTGAATTTTAGTGTATTATATTGACATGTTTTACAGTGCATTTGGAGTGTAGCCTATTATTCTTCTTTAGTCATGGTAGATGATAAATGGCATGAACTTATAAATTGCTTTATCGAGTCCAATGCCACCGAAGGTTCTTTACACTGTATGCAGGACATACTTCATTCAAAAGCTGATAGCAAGCTACAGCGGAGCCACAACTGGGATACATTGACAGGAGCGAGGATGCCAAACAAGCGACCACCAGCGACAGGCATGATGGGGGAACCCTCTCGCCCAAGGACACAAAGAGTAGGACAGAGCAGGGGCTCCACTGGCAAACCATTGGTTCCAGGACAAACCATTACCATATCTGGCTCTAAATGATATTGAAGTATAATTAATTATTCTAAATTATATTAAATTATGTCCTCTAAGTTTAAACACAATGATACCCCAGTATGACAGTGTGGACATTTTTTTTTAAGTTTGTTGCATATTTATGAAAAATCAAAACCCAAGTAAACATTAGCATATGTATTTATAGGCTTTGTGTTGATCAAATCTTGGTAGAATATCTTGCCAAAAACTTAGCAGAATTATTCTTATGTAGTTTCACCCTTCAGCTTTGCAGCTCTGTCAGGTTATAATGGAGATATCTGTTCACCGCCATTTTCAGATCTCTCTGGAAATGTGGGTGCAAGTTTGGTCTCTGGCTTGGCCAATAAAGGACATGTGCAGAGTGGGTCTTCAGCCACTCTTTGAGAACTTGGTTGTGTGCTTTCGGATAATTTTTCTGCTGAAAATGAACCCAGTCTGAGGTTAAGAGTGTTGGAGCAGGTTTTCATTGAGAATATCAATGTTGTAATCACACTTTTCTCTATGCTTGTTCTATATGCTTTCTTTACAAAAAAAAAAAAGCATACCCATAGCATGATGCTGCCATAAACATGTTTTACTGTAGAGATGGTTTCATTTTTGTCTTATCATCCCAAACTCGAAGGCAATAAGCAATGTTCAATGATACATCACTATTCAAAATGACATCTGATAGACAGCAAAAAACAAAAACAAAAAAACCACTTTGTTCTTGTTTTGGTCAACTGGATAAAGATTCAGGTATAACAAGGGTGATGTGTAAGATTTCCAAGTCAACAGCTGTGTTCATATTCTGATTAGTGTGTCATATGAGTTTTTCCCCACGAGGTGGCAGTGTAGTTCAACACAAAAAACATGTTCAGGAGAAAACAAATGCTTTTACTTTAGAGTCCAACTGTTAATTTGCTGCCTATTTAATCAAAGTAAATTGTTTGTATTGCAGAGGCTGTTAAAAGTTGTAGAAAATTCTTGTCTGAGAAATATTCTCATATCAATCAATTTTTATATATAACATACATTTACTT